ATATATTTCTTGTCGAGTAAAATATTAATATGATAATCATGTGGCAGATAGTAAATATGTATAAACTATCGTGTATACTCATGTTCTATATTATTTTATTATAATTATAGGTTATGCCATAACCGTCAACGTCGTAAACATAATATATACGCTATAGACTTAAAGTAGATGATTAAATGTAAGCTATATATTATACGAAACTAATAATTCTTTTGGCTCAAAATTGCAATAGCTTAATAAGAAAAGAACTATAAATCGCTCTAACTACAGTGATGAATATTCAGGTCACTCCCACAACAACGAACTTTTGGCTTATATGTAATTATTTTCAGGACCGGCTTAAATTATATTTCTTTTATCGACTTTTTCAACTTTCTTTCTGCATCTATTGATTTTATTCAGTGCTGGTATTAACTGTGACAGTGTATAGTATATACCAGGGGTTCGGAATTTGTTCCTATTTGACTCATTTCTCTTTTATGTTCCGGAACAAATACCTGGAACTCGTTCCTCAAGATATTCGTTCCGGAGCAAATACTCGGAACTCGTTCCTCGAGATATTCGTTCCGGAGCAAATACTCGGAACTCGTTCCTTTGATATTTGTTCCGGAACAAATAAAATGTAATTGTTCCTTGTCATTATTAATAATTTATTAATGGAGCAAAATGTATTTGTTCTACGTATTATGTTGTTTCGTTCGAGTTTATTGAAGGTGCACATTTTTTTTGTTACTTTATTCTTTGTGTGTGGTATTTTAGAAACAATAGACACATTAATGTAAGTTAAATATTAATTAATTTAAGTTAAATGTTAATTAATTTACCAAAAGATTATAGTTAATGCATTTAATATAACAATCAATGTTATTTTCAGTGTACATAAATGTATATAGTATATACATGGTGAAAGTTAACAGAGCTATTATAATATATTTTTACATACTGAGAAAAATGTATGCAACTAATCCATCAAAACCATCAGTCCTTTAATCATAAATTAAACTTGCAAAGTTAAAAAACACTTAATTTATATTAATTTAATATTTTTTTGGCTAATTATTTATGATTAATTTTCAGTGTATTTTTTTTACACAGCATATACAGGGTGATTCTTTTATCATGAACCACTCAATATCTCATAGGGTTTAATAGGAAATTAAAAATTTTTTTTTTCATATTGTTGTTATACAATGTGATCTCAATTTTTCACAATTTTTTTTGTTTTTACCCCCCTCTCAACTTGTGATGGAGCTTTAAGTTTAGGACAGGAGGAAAGGAGGAATGTAAGATTATTTTTATCTGCGCGCATTTCCAAACCGCACTTCCCCTCCCATCCTAACTTAAAACTCTTATAATTTTTATGAAGGAACATGTTCCGGAATTAGTTCCGAACCCCTGGTATATACATTATACATACACTGCTCATGATTTTCAATGGTCGTTGTCTAATTTACTTGGCTAATTTTTTTATATAATAACCTAGTTTGTACTAATTATTTACCGTTTATTTTTTGTTTTCAACAGCTACTTTTTGCTCTAACGTGTAACCACACGAATAAAGAAAAAAAAAATGTAGTAATTCAATAATAATGTGGTGTTTTTCATTTAAGCTAAAAGTTTTAATCAGCTTGTTAAAAATTGTTTAATTGTGAACACTGGTATTCGGATATAAGTAAAATGCCACCAACAACCCACAATAAATAAAAGTTATCATTTCTTTTGGAAAAAAAATTATTAATATTTTGTTGATGTTTTACTGAAATAGTTTACCTGTAGTACTATACCTTAATGTATCCAATATGGTCAAAATAATATCACAGATTATATGAAAACAGATTGTTCACTCTCGATGTAAACAAAAAATGAGCTGATAAGCACTCCGCCGAAACCAGTGTGACCATGTCAGCCGGAACGAAATTATCGAACTTGTATTTACAACAAATTATATGATTATTTCATATAATCTCATATAATTTCATATAATCACAAATTATATGATTATTTCATATAATCTGTGTATTTATCATATTAAATGTTAAAAAAATAATAAATGTTATATCGGTAATAATATTGATCCCGTCGATAACACTCTATCATTATCTCAAAGACATTTCATTACTAACACTGATATATATATCAGTGTTGGAAAGAATGCATTTATTAGATTTCATTCCTTTTTAGAGGAATGCAATCATGAATGTATTACATTTAGTTTTAAGGAATGAGGAATGGGAATTAATTAATTTTATGTCGGAATGTGAATGAATTCTAAAAAAAGAAACACTTCATGGCTATTTAGTAATTTTTAATTGACTGTAATTTACTAATTTATATTTAATTTATGATATATTTTATACATTTTTTCATAGCAAATGAACAGATTGATGAACAATAAATAATCAATTACTAACATTTTTTAAACAGTTTTAAAGGAATTAATTTTCTGAAAAAACGAATGTCCTACATCAGATGAATCACCTGTAGTTTATACAAGGTGATCTTTTGGTTGACAATATTATTCTGACCAAAAAAAATTAAAATTATTAAAACATATTTTTATATTTAAATTTGTTTTCATTCATAATACTTAAAATAGCATCTAAGTCTTTTATACAGTTTGCATTTTCAGAATAATGGAAATGGTTCTGGCAAAACATTTTTTTTAAACGACCAAAAATGGACTGGTGTCGGATTTATATTACTCCCATTTCCCACCCCCTAGGATGGTTACAAGTTTTTTTTTGTTTTTAAGCTATAATTTTGGGACCTTTAAGTTGAAAATTTGTCAGTTGTTAGAACTCATATGTATCCGTAACATGTTAAACGGAAAACAATTCGGCACTTCAGTTTTTTATACTATTTTACTAACAATTATACTATTTTATTTATGTGAAGTTTGTGATTTATTAATTTTTACTAATTATTTCATGTTCATTATTTTTTATTTATTTTAACCTATTAGCAGGCGCGTATGCGCATTTTGTACGCCAAATATACTTTTAAAGGCACGACTTTTATCTGAGTAGCCTATAGAATTACAGTAAATAAAAAATTGGTTATATTAAAACACGTATAACTAGATATATAAATATGCAATACTTTTAGTTGTTTAATACTTTTTTATAATAATTTGTATTATTTTATTTATAATTATTTTTTGTTTATTATTTTTGAATTGATATTATTTTTACAATAACAATGTAATTAAATACTGCGTGTCAATACTATTCATAGTTGATTAATGCTCTGTCAGTTGTCATGCCCTATGGTGGACAGCTTACTATTTCTCTATGTTAGAAATAATTAAAATTGTATATTAATAAGTATGGATATGTTATGTTTATTGTTTATAATGCATTATATTTTTACTTATTGGGAATTTTAAAATGTCTTATTATTAAATGTATTATTATTTATTAATTGTAATTTATTATTGAAATTAAAATTATTGCCCTTGGATAAGTCATACTATATAGTGCGTAAGATAATATAAAACAACTGTAATTGTAAGAATACTATTATTAAATTATTATTATTATCATTATGGTTATTAATATTTATAAAATGTTTGTTAAATACAAAAGAAACATTCTGTTTAACTCAATTATTTAACAAAAGCGAAAGCCCGCGAACACGTTTAAAAACAAATTCCCTTCAGACGGTCATACTGATTTTGGCGGGCCAATCATAGAGCCTTATTTGCAATCCTATTGTTAAAGGCCCGAGTGAACAATCTGTTTTCATATAATCTGTGATAATATTATAACTTTTTTATATTCTTTGCATTTTTTACATTCTCAGTATTCTTGTACCGATAATTAAATCAACCTATTTTAAATAAATACTCAGATGTGTGAAAATAGTTACGTGACAGGTAGGCTATACAGCTGTTATATTTAATTATCTATATAATAACTTTATACATAATATTATATATATATTGATATATAAATATAGTATTGTTAAGACTTTAAATGATATCTACAGAATGGAAAATTGCTACCTTCAGATATAAGAGCATATTATAAATAAAAACGGGTATAAAAATAATAACTAGTGTAGGTAAAAATATTATTCTACAAAACTTACCATTATTACAACACTTCTACAACAATGAACACGCAGGTCATTTCAACAACAACGAATTCTCATGTTGAGACTAAGGGATTTCCACGACTGGCTTATAAATTGCTTTTATCGATCGCGTTTGCTATAAATACTGATCATCCATACAATAGTTATGTTCAGCATGTAGAGTGCGCTGGAAGTTTTAATTGGTTTTTGATAAGTATAATAATATATATTATTAGTTTTTTTAATTTCAATAAGTTAGTAATGTAAAAAATCAGTTTTTTTTTCGACTGTTTGACATACAGTTTTAATAAAATATAAATAAAACAAATAATTGAAAAAAAATTGTTTTGGTAAGTTTAGGGGCACTTTTGAAGACTATTGATGAAAAAACGTATTATTAGATATGGGCTTGGAACTAATATACACCGTTAACCAGTTTTTAACAAACACTATAAAAGTTATAAGCATTTAAATTATTGGAAATATTTTAAGTAAAGGATAGATAGACGTGTTTAAACGCAATAACTCTAAGCTAATTTATCCAAATTAATGGAAAAAAAATGTACAACAAAAAATTGGTTTAAGATTTTTATAAAAAATATTATATTGACTGACCCATAATTAGTTTTTAACCATATATGAATAAAAAAATTATAATTTATATTAATTAGATGTTTTTTGGTGCACTCCTCAAGTTGATGACTGAAAAAAACGTATTATCATTAGATATGGGCTTGGAACTGATCCTTTACGCGGTTGTTGGATTAATTCAATCTTTGATTATAATGCCATTATTTTTTAATAAAAGCGCTATTGCATTTACTTTTTGGTCAATGCAAACCACATTTGTTGACTGGTCCTTAAAAAGAAGAATTTACCCTAATAATTGCTATGACAAAAACAAAAAATATTTATCATATTCAATTATGGGCACAATAGCTTGCCTAATATGTATTACGATTGGCCCTGTGTTATCAGCAATACATGATATTGGTAAAGTACCATTGGATCATAGGTCTCATTGGATCATTCACTGGCCGAGCGTAAGTGCTAATTTTAAAAATTGTGTGTTATAAAGTCTTATTAAAACAGGCATACTGTATTACTTTTAGGTAATACATATGGAGAGTTTTTGGAGTTATGGGTTTATTTTTACACTACAAGTAATCTCTTCTACTTATACACTTGTGTCTATTACGTTGTACAATATTTACATGATTGTATTTCTAACGGAATTAAAAGAACAATTTAATTTACTTACAAGTGGAATAAGGGAAGCGTTTAATTACAGAATGGATCAACATTTTCAAGACTACTTCGTCGATTGTGTTCGTCACCATCAGACACTTATAAAGTAAAAACAAATTTTATATTTGTATGATCATTTTTTTTTTTATTGTGATATTAGTACTAAATTATCATTTAGTTTTATTGTATCATAAAATTTAACAAAATGTTTACGATTTTATTAAATCTAGGGCATTAGACGAATTTAAGAAATTTTACAAATGGATACTCTTAGGTGAAATAGTTGCAGTACAATTCATATTTTCAATAGTGGTATATTGCCTTTTAAAAGTAAATATTTCTGTTAGTTATAATATTTATAAGTTGATAGTTAGTATTGTTTTTTTGTTTTAACAACCGTTTGATTTTATTTAGGTGGACGCTTCTTTTGGATATAAATTGAAATTCATTGGAGTATTAGTGATTAGGCTTGTTATGGTTTGGTTTCAATGTACTTTAGGGGATGATATAACACATTTGGTATATAAAAACACTTTCAATAATTGTTTTTTAAAACGTTTAAGACGACATCATACCCTATTTTTTAAAGAGTTATTTAGGCAACTTTTTAAAGGTTAAACTGTGACATGTATTTATTAGTTCAGTCATTAGGATTTTTTTTTTTTTTGGTACTTAATTTATTGCCGAATTATCAAAGCATCCCTGGCAGTGATTTAAAAAAAAAATTCTATACATACTTAGGCTGTTTTTACATATGATAATGAGAACTTTATCTAAGTTCTCGCCTCGGCTGTTTTTTTACTATTAATCAAACATTCATAAACGAAGATGAATTGGTGTGTAATTCTATTTTCTTGTTTTACAGCATAAGCGCCTATCTACTGAGTTATATGCCATGACGTGGTACCATATGCCTAACCAATACAAAAAAATGATAATTATTATGTTTCAACGTACACAAAGAGATTTAACTATAAATTTAGCTATATTTCAAAATAAAGTAGCATCAAGAATTATGTTTTTAGTAATTATTAAACAGTTTTACACGTTTTTAAATGTATTATTGAATATATGATTCAAATTTAGAAACTAGTTAAAATTATATGTATTATTAATTATTATTGTTTAACTAGTAAACTGTTTTAAGTTATTAATATTGTTAACTTATCTGCTGTTACTAATCTAAAAGAATATCTACATCAAATATATATTTTTTTTAAACCATAAATATGTATGTACCTACAGGTGCTCTTAAGATGTAAACGTATTATATTGTTTTGAAACAATATAATAGAAAGAAATAGTAGAAAGAATATTATAATTTTATTACTTATATACCATGGATAAAATATACTTTACACCATAATGTATTTTTTAATCTACGCTATTATTATATTAAATTTCAATTATAAATTACATACTTATCTGAGCGCACGGTGTATCTTTACGTGAACCAATTTACTCGATATTTCTAACTCTTATATCTCTGCTACTTCTTAAGATGGGCCTTTAAAATTTGAAACCTAAAGTAAGCTTAAATAGTTTAGGACATTGTCCAAAATTGAGGCCTTAATATTTAGCCGTTTTAAAATGGGAGGATTTCAAAATTTGCATTTTTGTTACTGACTTACTGATTTACTCTTCATCAAAATTATAATACACTTCCCGTATAGGTAGAAACATGAAATTTGGCACAAAAATGGGTCTTATAGTGTAAGTTAAGGGAAAAATCCTAAAATTGCAATTTCCTTAAAATTAATGCGCTAGGTGGGGATTAATGACCTTCGCCGCGCTACAGCCGGTAAAGGGCGCTGTTGATGCCCACGTCTCTAGTCAACCATCATTTGGCCGTAGTTTGTGTCTTTGTTAATTCGTGTCCACATGTATAGCAGTGTAGCAGTGTTCTTTGTTCTTGTTACGTTTGTCACGTGGTTTATTATGAAGTGTAATTGTACACCTAAACGTTTAGGTTTCGTTTATACGTTTATAATACTAAACTAGATTTATAGTGGCTACTTGTATAAATGCTAGCTTCACTACAAAGGGTAGTTTTATGTACATACATACATTATATATATATATATATCGTACATATCTACGTAGTTAATATAATAACACATTCAATGTGTTACAGACAATGCCTCGTAAAAAAAAAAACGTCGCCCTCGATACTGAAGCTCACAAAAAGGAATGATATCCCAACAAAAACCTAACAGTGAATAAAGGCCAAGTTCTAGACCCCCTTCTTAAAAATATCAGCCTATCAAAGTAGTGGTATCTACATTGTGGCCAAGTCTGCTATTTCTTTAGTTCATAACCAAACTTCACTCCTACTTTCATGAGCAACACTGCTGTTTTATTTGTATTGCTTAACACTTGGCCCGTTTACACTTTATTATTAATAAAGTGTAGTAAGCTTTCGTGAACTATAAAACCTTCGCGACTACTAGATGGTGAATGTATTGTTATTTTTTGTTGTTCATTTTATAGAGGCTCGAAAAAAGAAATATTTAAATAAATAATTTATTGAAATTTTGTTGTATTATAATATAGTAGTGTATAGTTGGGTAAAGATGATCCTCTCTTATCAGTGATCCTCGAGGATGATCCTCCCTTATCAAAAAAATTGTTATCAATTTTTGTTATCAGTGATAAGAAAAATTTTGGTGGCAAAAAAATGGACGATTGTGAGTATCCATGTGGTATTACAGATTGTTATCAGTGATAAGAAAATTTTGGCGGAAAAAAAATGTGAGTATCCATGTGGTATTACAGATTGTTATCAGTGATAAGAAAAAATGTTGGTATCCATGTGGTATTACAGATTGTTATCAGTGATAAGAAAAAAATGTGTGTATCCACGTGTTATTACAGATTGTTATCAGTGATAAGAAAAAAATGTGTGTATCCATGTGGTATGACAGATTTAGCTATAATGTCTATGGTGGTGATAATAATACAACGGTCGTTTTGATGGTGTACTAGGCCCAGTTGACCAAAGTGAGCTGAGTCAAATATTACAGCTAAACTTTGGACAACTAAGTTTAGACAAATCATGATGCGTCCAATGATTATAATGCATAGTCTGTGGGTGTGCACAACAGATGGTTGCAACAGCGCGCGCGCGTTTTTTTTTTAAAACGATATGATTGGTCAACGGTAAACGGATGATGTCTGTGTGTAAATGCGTATAAATACTGTAAAAGAATACGGTACAAACAGTGACGACCAGTTTAGCGCACATAAGAAAACTTCCAGTGGTGGTGGTTGTGATGAATAAAGCAAACTACGACAACGCAGAGGTGAGTGATAAAATAATAACTCGATTGTCGGCTGCATTATTATAATTAAAACTTTTTCGACAGATGAATGTAATTACAAGCAACCTACTCAATCAAAAAAGCGATGTCAAGACGCATCGGCAGCATATATCAGAATTGCAGATTAACGTACCGTACAAAGTGTTGGGCTTCAAATCGGTGAAAACGAAATTTAGCAGTTTCACACCGGTGATTGTAGTGCAATTGGGCTTTGAAAACCCGTTGGAAGTGTATTTGCCACCGAGGTATGAAATGAGCGAAGACGAGATAAGAAGAGGCGTCGATCCGAATTTGAAACTACGATACCGTGGGAAAATGCCAGGGACTAACGTACATGATATTATATTTGAATAAAAAAAAAAAAATGTAATTTACAATCGTTGAATAAAATTGTGTGTGTGTCTTAACAAACTCAAACATTTTATTTTTTTTTAAACCACCGAGTACTAGGTAAAAAATTATAATAATAATAATAATTTAACGATGCGATAGAACGTCCTATACGGACCGGTGAGCGTGTATAACTGTAGGGGTCATCATCGTACGACATGTGTACAGTCGTCGGTTGATGTGAATGCAAAAAAACCAGGTGCCTGCAGGGGAAACATTGTACGACGACGACGCGAACACAGACGTCTGATGGTTGTAATAGTAAATAAAAAAAAAAAACCGGTGCAGGTGGCCTGTAGACACACACAAACGCACGCTGAATGGTAAAAAAAAAGTATAATAACTCGACGTCTTAGTCTGATATTAGTCAACTATAATATTGCATAATCCACTGACCGCGTCGAAGACACAGTGTATCGTTGAATAAAATATGGAAAATATTAACTGGTTATTACAAGGTAAAGTATGAATAAAAGTCGTCCGTAATTTTTTTTGTTTTTATCTAACAATGATGTGATAGTATACAACAATTTAGAAAACGGGGTTCAAATCGAAACCGTTAGCCCCGATGGACATATATATCATATTCAAGGTACTGGAGCTCAGCCAGTTATTATACTATTTAGGTAACGTCCGAAATTAATATTAAAAAAAAAAAAGCGATTTTAATTTTCTGAAACAATAATTTAAGAATGCGAAAGCGCCGCCGCCAATCGAACAATGAAGGATCGATGGATAATGATAGCAGCTGCGGTGGCAGCAGTAGCAGCAAGGCCATGCAATACGGCTACCGATGTAAAATTGAAAAATGTATTATTGGTTGTTCAATAAATTATAAAATAAAATATCCGAGTTATTTGTTAACTTATCCTAAGCGTAGAATAATTAAAAAAAAAAAATTACTAAAAGATAAAACAACGCCCGGTGACCGTCAGGCACCTGCAATTGCGAAAGTGGTAACAAAAAAAAAACGGTTATAGTTTAAACAAGAGAATGAGGATCGGTTACCGGAAACGAGTGTGTGGTTAAAAGGGGAATACAACGGGGCGATTACTAGTAATACGTTCGACTAGGAGCTAGAGCGAGGATCAAGCCAGTAAGAACGATGTTTCCTTGCGGCTTATGTGATAAAACTTATACGATCAATAGCAATCGCCAACGACACATGCGAACGGCTCATGACCCGGAAAAGACGGTATTCAGATGTCACAAATGCCACCAAATATTCAACAGACCCGACAACCTATCGAGACATCTCGCAGAAGTCGTACATCCTCAGGGTGAGTTAAAATTAATCAAATAAACGCGCGCGCGGTGAAATAATAATAATACAACAACAGTACTTTTATACTTTTAGACGCGATAGAAAACGTCGAACGATACGGTTACGGTCTACTTCGTGACAACCGTAAGTAAAAAAAAAAATGTTAATAACTTTAATACTCAAAAATAGTAATAATAATAATCATACAGAGTACGAGACGCAACGCGAACAGACGTATGAAATAGTTGAAGTTGTACCTGAATTTTGGCCCAACCAAGACGAGCAAATATCGTACGAGTGGCTAGGTCAGGACGATATGCAGACTGAGAGAGCGGGTGATGCAGGCCCAAGCGGCGACGGCGGCGGCGGGGCAGCGGTAAACCATACAAGTGAGTTGCAAAATAATTGTGCAAATAATAAAAAAAAAAAAAAATGCCAAACAGAAAAAATCGAATTATAGGTATTGAATTAGTCGACTCGGCGTTTGGCGATAAAATAGAATTGTACAAAGTGACAAATACAAATTCACAGTTTGGCGTGGCCGAGTTTATGGACAATTGTGGCAACCAGGTGATCGGGTTATTGGACAGAACGACCAAACAGCACGTTGCGATTAAGGCGAGCGTTGAACTGTACGCACTGTTTGAAAAAACGAGAGCTCCGGACGACAACACAGCCGAAACAACTGAAACGGACAGCAGCGTTTTCAGCTTTAACGTGCCACCGGTGTCGATAACCTAAGGATCTGATATTCACAACATCTACAAGGACTTCACCGAGAGTATAAAGCGCGACGCTGAGGAATTCACCGAACGAGATACTGGATGGGCCTTGCGAGAAGTCGTCCACATGGAAGTGTCAATTTGTTAGTACGACCCACTCAAAGGTTCGTGTTGGATAAAGCTTCCTAAGGACATTAGACAAAAAAAACGCTGTTCTGTCAATAGCCAATATGGACCAAGCGTGTTTTTTCTGGTCTATTGTGGCTAAACTACATCCGGTAAATTCGAAAACTATACAAGCCGAATTAACTACATCATACCCACATTATAGCGACGTGCTGGACACAACCGGTATTTCGACTCCCGTGCAATTAAAAAGCATACCGAAATTCGAACAACAAAACAACATAAGCGTTAACGTGTACACGCTGCAAAACAAAAACTTAATTGCTGTAATCATTTTTTTATATTTTCTTATGGGTTGTGTGTATACAAGTGTACGCATTTGAGTATGTTTTATAATGATATTATACATCAATCAAACGGATAAAGGTAAACAACACTTTTTTGTAAAAGGTATATACTACTTTTTACGGGTTGCGTGTATACAAGTGTACGCATTTGAGTATGTTTCATAATGCTATTATATCAATCAAACGGTCAAAAGGATAAAGGTAACCAACACTTTTTTTTTTGTAAAAGGTATATACTCCATTTATTGTGATACAGGTAAACAATTTTTTTTTTACAGTAAACTATTGCAAATGGTTTTAGATAATTAACAGGCGAGTCATATAACAGATATTCTAAAAAAAAAATATTTCATCAATCGAATAAAAAAACAAACACACCAATACACATCCGTCCAATGGTCTGGCATATTGTTTTAAATTTTTTTTTCAAATACCGTGTTCCATTTCTACATCGCCCACTGCGTCGGCCACCGCGACCAGTTGAGTTGTTGCAGCTGCCCTGTAAACACGTTATTTTTAGTTTAATATATATTTTCAACATTCTTAATTTTACATACTTATCAATTTGTTCAATAAGTTTGCTCACATCAGTCAAATGATCCCTTATTTCCTTTTTCTCTTTGTTTTCCCCTTTGCTTTGGTCGGCGGCGTCGTCGTCGCCGTCGTTGTCGTCAACACTTTTCCACATCCTGTAATACAATTAATTATTTTAAATAATTTCATCGAAACATCAGCAGCAGCAGCTAAAAGAGAGAGACATTACCTGGCATAATCGTCGTCGACTACGTCGTCAAACAGTCGTTGAAAGTCCCAGCTATGGATTGGCGTGTCCATTGCTTTTGCTTCTAAGCTTTGCGGTGTCGATTCTTCCACGGATAGAGACCGTAAGTACTCGTCCCATATAAATGCTACTATTCGTTGGTGATCGTAAATCAAAAGCTCCTTGTAAAACGGATGTTTCTTTCTCGGCATTAGGTTAATCGGCCAATTTATTATTATATTGTATATACCCTGTATGGGCGAGGTTAGATATCTTATAATAACCTCGGTTTTTTAACGTTTATTAACGCTTTACATTGGTCAGTTAACATTTCACTAATTACCGATTTTTCCGTTACTGCCCGACGCATTATTTCACGTTGCCGTTTAATCGACGTCAAGTTATCCTTAGTCAATGATATTCGGTGGCCAGCGTATTCGATTACCAAATACGAATTTGAAAAACAACGCGTTTTTTTAATAGTCAGCCCCGGTATGGGGATTACCGCTCTCTTACCGTCGTTGCCATTATCGTCAGACATTATTTTAATAAGATTGTCCAAAGCACCCAACAATCCGATAAACTTATCGTGCTCCATAGACAAACACGCTGTAGCACATACTATAAGTATTGCTTGTTTGTATGCACTGTTCATTTTTGACCATTCGCATCCGATGTGAATAAATTTTCTCTCGTTCAGGTTAACCGTAAACACCGCAGCCGATATCAGCTGAGTATCAACCGTGTTGATATGTCTTCTCGGCAAAATTCTTATTTCTTTTTTCCCGTAGCCACTCATAGTACACACACGCACGCGATATCACTTCACAACTAGATAACCGTTCTACAAGAACTCTTCACGACGTACTACTGGTGGCCCCATTTAAAAGACCCCTTTTATGTATCTAAGCGTTTGCATCCAACAGCCAATGATATTTTTACAGTCTGTGTCCCGCGCAAATGCATTTCTCATAAATATTTTGTTGTCAGCTGCTGCTGCTGCTGCTGCTGATAATTATCATTATTCAGCTACACTAAAATGGCGCGCTTTTTTTATTCGTTATCATACCACCGTGAATACCTTCACAGTCCAATTCTTTTCTTATCACTGATAACAATCTGTAATACCACATGGATACCAACATTTTTTTCTTATCACTGATAGCAATCTGTAATACCACATGGATACCAACATTTTTTTTTTATCACTGATAACAATCTGTAATACCACATGGATACTCACAATCGTCCATTTTTTTGACGCCTAAAATTTTCTTATCACTGATAACAATCTGTAATACCACATGGATACTCACAATCGTCCATTTTTTTGACGCCTAAATTTTTCTTAACACTGATAACAAAAATTGATAACAATGTTTTTGATAAGGGAGGATCATCCTCGAGGATCACTGATAAGAGAGGATCATCCTTACCCAACTATACACTACTTAATATGTAAGTATATAATCAACAATAAACAAATTAGGTGAGCACTTTAGTTAACTATCAAACGAAAAAGTTATCTTTACTTGAACGTAGTGAGCTCTACCGGCTGCTACTGCAGTAATGTGTATGTACCTTGTTACTAACTAGATGGCGCTTAACTTTTCACAGACAGAAAATGATATTTACCTAAATGAATACGTCCTTTAAAATGCTTATACCAATCCCCGGAAGTATTTATCCAAAATTGGTTAACGACCCATTATAATTTTCATTAAATCGTGTTTCTTTACATGGGCAAATCTAATTTATACTTTGCCATTTGACTTGTAAAAGTTACCATCCAAAATTGACTGAAACAGATTTTATCAATGACTTTATACCGGTTGATCCATTTTACATTAGACACTCAATTTCTTAAAAACCATTACAATAGTGTAGATATTTTTATTTAAAAACAAAATAGTATTTATGTACACTACGTGTATACAAATATAAATTTACCAAATATTTATCTAGTTTAGTATTTTCCACAGCTTTCTATTTTTGAAACTTAAATAGGAATTAACTAACATTTAAAATAAAGAAAAATTGCCTGAAAATCGTGATTAATCGATAAGACGTTTTGAATTATCGCTTTTATAATAAAAAAAGCCTAAAGTTAAGAACGAAAGGAAGGGTGTAGTGAAGTAATATTTTCATCTTCGAGCATTAATCAGCCGCACTTCCCGTTCCGTCCTTACTTTTAAACCTTTTTTAATATTAAATGTAACTCCTCAAAATTGTTTATCGACTAGTCAAAATTGTAAAATCAATAAAACGCAAAGAACTGTTTAATTATTGTTCAATCGAAGTAAACCTAATCGGGTGTATACCTAAATATTTTGGTAGAAATCGTCGAAGAAGCCACATAATGAAAATTATTTAAATGTAAGTTACAATATAGTATTAGTTAAAATAATAATTGTTATGTTAAATTATTGCAATAAAAACCATACACACATTTAAATAAATTAAATAATACTAAATATTAACATTAAAAATAAATTAATAAATTAAACCAAAACAAATGAATAAAACAATTAATAACAAATTAATGACAAATTATATTCTTAAATTATTATTTACCGAGTAAACTGTTCTAGCTTATTACTATATTGTAAAGCTAACGGTTTACTATTCAATGCACAATTCTAAAAGAATGTCTAGGTCAAATATATTGTCATGCACTGAAAAATTATTAAATGTAAAATTATTTATAATAATAATTGATACCAATGTTAAAATACATAAAAACCATAAATATATTTAAATAAATTAAATAATATTTATATTACATTAGTAATATTTTAATGAATTAAACCTACACAAATCAATTCAACAAATATCCATAGCTATCCAACGGTAAATGAGATTATTCAGTTTAATTCAAGAGCATCTTTACTTAACAGAATGAGTTTGAAGCGCCGATTGTTTAAAAAAATGACGTATATAAGGTATACATATGCCAATTACTTAAGGGTATAAATCATAGAAAAAATAATAACTGTACACAAAATGGCAGCCTCTAACCAGGGGACATTTTCATAAGCAGCCAACTATAGGCAATACGCGTTCCATATACCGAGTTCAATCTGGGGCATTACGTCGTTGTCTTCACGAATCTATTAATATTGAATAAATAATTTAGAGACATTATAGTGTATATTATGATTTTTATATTCTATATTGATTCAGAAACCATTTAAACTAGAAATACTAATGTCAAAACGTAAAATACCTTTGTAATTATATTCTAGTGACGTGACCGAAATTCTATACAAGTGATATATAAGTAGTAATAAAGGAAGTATAAATATATATATATATATATATATATATATATATATAGAGCACGTTCTATATTCTTCCATTTTAATTATACCCTGACTCATATAATTATAGTGGGCATTTATTAATAAATCGTACAGGGATATTAACAATTTGCTTTTGAATAAAATGAAATAAATCAAATAATAGGGTAACTTACTGTTTCTGCTAGGATCGCAAAAGACGAATACTAGAATAGTTATTAAGAAACGTACATTACTATAACCACTCTAGTATCAATTCTGCAACGATGAACACTCGGGTCACTTCAACAACAATGAACTCTGAAACTAAGACTAAGGGATTTCAAAGACCGGCTTATAAATTGCTTTTTTCGGCGGCTTTTGCTATAAACACTGATCATAAATATAATACTTACGTACATCATATAGCCTACGCTGGAATTTTTAGCTGGTTTCTGGTTAGTATAATAATATACATTTGTTTTTTTGTTAAAAATGATTCTAGTAAATTTGTTTTCAAATAGCAAGTCTAGTAATGTTAATAGTAGTTTTTTTTGTGATTGTAATATACTTAAAAATAAGCAATATTTGATTAAATTTTAATAATATACATAATAAAAAAACATTTAAAATTAAACATTTTTGGAATACTTCTTTAAAATAATTATTGGTAATTAAATTATTATTCGATTTTATTTTTGTTTAGCAAAAATAAATTAAACTAGTTAAGCATAAATATAATATAAATGTTTTGAACTATATTTCATTACCCGTAAATATTTTTAGGTATTACATACGAGCATTATGACTTTGACAGTTTTAGTTTCATCAAATAACCTAAATTTGACAAAGTTTCCCGTGTGCGCCCGCTCTAGTTGTAGTATAAAAACATAAACAAAAATGTTTTTCGAACGACAAATTACAAAATTTCAATTGTCTTCAAAGTATATGAGTGTCTTGCGTTAAGTTTGCCACCCGGTATACTTCTATAAAAAAATAATTGTTGTAGCTAAAAGATGATTAAACAGTATGTACCGTTAACCAGTTTTGAATAAGCACTATAAGTATTTAAATTATTGAAACAATTTTAAGTAAAGGCGATAGATTGACTGGTCGTCAATGGTTTAAACGCTAATAACTCTAGAACGATTTATCCAAAATTAATGAAAAGATTAAACTACTACAGAAAATTGGTTTAAGATTTTTATAAAAAATATTATATTGACTGACCCATAACCAGTTTTAACCATGTATGAATAAAAAGATTATAATGTGTTTTGATTAGATGTTTTTTGGTGCACTCTTCAAGTTGACGGCTGAAAAAACCATATTATCATTAGATATGGGCTTGGAACTGATCCTTTACGCAGTTGTTGGATTTATTCAAACTCTGATAATAACGTCATTTTTTTTTAACAAAAGGGCTATTGCATTAACGTTTCGTTCAATGCAAACCACATTTGTTGACTGGTCCTTAAAAAGAAGAGTTCACCCTGATAACTGTTATGACAAAAGCGAAACATTTTTATTTTACACAATGATAGGCACTACAATTTGTATAATATGCATTATGCTTGGACCTGTGTTATCAGCAATATACGATATCGGTAACGTTCCACTGGATCATAGATCTCATTGGATCCTTCACTGGCCGACCGTAAGTAGTAACCCAAAAAATAGCGTGTCGACAATAGATCTTATTAAAATCGAAATACTACACTTTCAGGTAATAAATATCGATACGTTTTGGAGGTATGGGCTTATTATTACACTGCAGATGACCGCTACTACTTACTTACTTCTGTCTGTTGCGTTGTATAGTATGTATACGATTGCTTTTTTAACGGAATTAAAAGAACAATTTAAATTACTAACAAATGGAATAAGAGAAGCGTTTCATTATAGAATGGATCAACATTTTCAGGTTTACTTCGTCGATTCTGTTCGCCACCATCAGACACTTATGAAGTAAAAGTTAATTTAATATTATATTTGTTATAATTTGTTCTACTGTGTTTGTATTATTAAAATGTTATTATGTAATTGTAAATGAAAAAAATTAATGTTGAAAGATATTACATTTTTATTTGTTTGAAAAAAGCACATTAAACGAATTTAAGAAGTATAACAAATGGATACTTTTTGGTGAAATAGCTACGGTGGAAATGGTATTTTTACTGGCTACATATTGCCTTATAAAAGTAATTAGTAATGTTAGCTATATTATTTATAACATATTCTTCTATAAATGTCAATTGGCATTAATTTATAGAATAATTAAATATTTTTATAGATAATAATTAATATTTTAACAATTGTTTTTTTTATAGGTAGATGCTTCTTTTGGATATAAATTGAAATTCATTGGAATCTTAGTATTTTGGATTGCGATGTTGTGGTCTCAATGTACCTTAGGGGATGATATAATATATTTGGTATTAATAAACACTACATAGCTTTCATAATACTTTTTTAAGCGTCTCTTTTTTGTATACACATCAAAACGTATTAAACTTTAACTATTATTACTCTAACTATTATTTAATAGTTTATATTGATCATTAGTATACATATAAAAACATAAATAATAAATTAGTCGACCAGGTCAAAAAACCACTCACAATAAGTCAAATGTTTGTAGAAATTGAGATGAGTTTAGGTTTTAAGTAAATGGAGGGCTAGGAATTGAGTGGTTAATTAGTTTTGGAACAGTATAATTTTGAAAAATATATTTAGGAGCTGGACGACTCAAATAATTTAATATTAATAAAGATCTTGAAAAATTAAATACTTGAATTATTTATTTTTAAACGAAGATAAACTGATGTGTAATTATATATTTTGGTTTTACAGCATAAAAGTCTGTCTACGGAGTTGTATTGCATGACTTGGTACAATATGCCTAACCATTACAAGAAAAATATAATTGTCATGTTTCAACGTACACAGCGAGATTTATACTTAAATTCTGCTATTTTTCAAAATAGAATAGCGTCAAGGATAACTTTTTTAATAATAATTAAAGAAGTCTACACATTTTTAAATGTATTATTGCAAATTTAATTTAAATTTAGAAACTAGATGAAATTTTATTATTATTATTTAACGATAAAACTGTTATAACTCATGACTATATTGTTAAATAAACTGTTAGCACTATTATAAAAGAATAAATTTGTTAAATATATGAATACAAATTAGAACCTAGTCTTAGTTATAAATTATAATAATGATTGATATATTAAAATACATTAAAAAATATAAATTTATTTAAATAAATTAGGCAATGATCTAAAAAACTGAATAACAGTGTATTTTAAACGAATTTATGAGATATATTAATGATGTTTATATTCTGTACCCTTTCAGAAATGTAAAAAATAATAATATTTCGGTTACATGTCCAAAATTCTATGGAAGTTCATCGTATCCGGCAATATATTGCATTTTCGTTTGTATCAACTTTTCAACAGCGCACAGCCACTATTCCGGACAACCCCCTTGCCGTCTTAACAGACGTTGGTGTCGTGATCTTTTAAATTGCAATGCTACTGTTTGATATCTAGCCGAAACCTGTCATAAGGGTCGTATCACTGGACTGTCTGGATAGCTTCCCTACTCATAGTCTCCCAGTCATTTATTTACTTTGTTAGCCTATTTGCCTATGGTATATTTATTGTACAGATTGTAAATGTTATTTAAAAACAAATACATAAATAAATGAACGGAAAAAAATTTAGTTTTCAATGAATGCTAAAATAGTATTAAAAATGAAATTGACGACACATTGTCTAATATTAAAAATGAGAATAAAATTATAATTGAAATTGATATTAATTTGCTTTACACTGTTAAATCAGTTTTTCAAAAGAAACTTGTACTTTTATTAATTAAATTAAATTTAAATTAATATATTATGACAAAGAATGTTGGAACTTTAAGTTTGTATAATTTATTAAAAAACCCAACACGTGTAACAATATTACATTTTATCAGCAGACATTAAATTATGTTTTTAATTAAAATTATGTATTTAGTTAATAAGTACAGTCTATTATAATCATATACTAGGATATAAATACCTATTTAGCGGAAATTCAAACGTTATTACATTTGGTGAAAACGATGCACGCCCACTTCAATATAACGGTGATATATTAATACAGTAGTCTATATTATTTTATTTTAATTATAGCTTAACATTTAATTATTAAGGACTGCTAATTGTCCCATTTTTATATGATTACATACTATATAATTATAGGTGGCGTTTAATAATGAATCCTACCTATTCGGACGATTAAAATTATATCTTTGATAAAAAATCAAATAAATCATATATTAGGGTAATTTTCTATTTCTGCTAGGATCGCTTAATTAAAATCTAATAGGCGTATAATTTTTAATAATAAAAAAAGAAACGTAAGTCACTATAACCACTCTAGTATCACTTCTACAACGATGAACACTCGGATCACTTTAACAACAACGAACTCTGATATTAATATGAAGCGACTCCAAATACCTGCTTATAATTTGCTTTTTTCGGCGGCTTTTTCTATAAACACTGATCATAAATATAATACTTACGTACATCATGGAGCTTACGCTTGGAGTTTTAGTTGGTTTTTGGTTAGTGTTATAATATAAATAAATATTTGTTTTTCTAGTTACGAACGGCAGTAGTAATTTCAAATAGCACGGTTAGTAATGTTAAATAACAATAGTAAACATAATAACTTAGACAGATATTAGGTGTTGTAGATATTGTACAATTTTAAATATAAGAATATGTTGTTTAAGGGGAAATGTTAGAATTATAAACACCGTGTTATATTATGTAGTTTGTAGGTCGATTTAGCTCTTAGTAAGCATATTTTGTAGTTGGTGTTCACGTCGTTTTTACTTATATGTGTACTCATATTGATATTAAACATTTTATATGTTAAATTTAAATCATTTCAATCCAACACGTGGTATTTATATAATATAATAAATTTATATAACATAATATTATTTGCTTACAAAAATTAAATAATACTAATATTTCAATTTTAATTTGTTAAGACGTCTCACATGTTATTTTTTAGTGTTCGATAAAGGAATTTATACGTAAAAACTTGGTTTAGAGATATCTAAGAAGATATTTAATTTTGAAAAAAAAAATGTTACATTGTTGAGTTGACCGATGTACATTTGTTTGTAGCATCATTAATTTATTATCACAAATAGTATGCCTTTGGTACTCGATCAGGTCAAATTTTTTTAACTTCCAACTTTGAGCTTACTTGGCTGAAATTTTCTGGTCGTTAATTTAATTGTTTTAAATACTAAAGGTGCCCTCTGTCAAACGCTATGAGTGTATAACTATTATAATAATTATATTGTTTGACGATTGAGTATAATATAATTTTTAGGTAATTTATTTCTACGTATGTGCACATCATTATTTTTGTTTTGTTTTTGAATTGGGGGACAATAAAAAGCCTTAAGTCAACAATACTACATGTTTTTTAAACGACCACCGACGAAAATGATCGGTTAAAATTATTCCATAGCACCGACCGACCTGTCAGCGACATGTGCCGGTGGTACATATTTATTATACTATTATTATATTCTAATGATAACGATATTATTATTATTAGGTATTGGTTTGTCCGCCAAAATGGTCGACATATTTTTTACATAACATTATTGCTTCGACGACGAAAAATAAAATCATAATAAAACTGGATTTTTTTTACCATTTGTCGGGTCCGAAAACACTATACCGGGTGATCCATTTAACGTATAACACTTTTTTTTTCGGAAATGAATTACAATATTGCAATTTTCTTTTAGGAGAACATTTTTGTTTATGTTATTCTGTACAATACTATAAAATTATCAAACATTTACTCTTTTAGTATTTGTGCTATAAGCCCTTTGAACCTTAAACGGGAATGTATATGCATTACATTTTTAAAAGAAGAACTATTTGCTCGGAATTTTGACTTGTCGACAACTGCTAAAAAATAATTATTTTGAATAATTACTTTTTAAGGTATTTCCTAGATTTCCTAATTTTTCCGAGAAAATGAGTGTATTACGTTAAAGTGAATCACCCTGTATAATAATATATTATTGTTATGTGTGCTGCTGCGGGTAGAGTATATAGTATTTAGATTGTATGTGCGGATGACGTAGAGGGCTCGCAGTGGCCGGCAGCAAAGGGGTTGTCCGGAAAATGACCCTTTTTTTTTTTTGTCACCCGTTTGCATATTATACAAACACACAAACCCTTTGCCACGAGCTTTGCCTAATGTTATATATATATATATATATACATATATATAAACCGCACACGTCAACTATAAATCGCTTGTCATCAACAGTTTTAACGCTATTTATCGTTTGGCAAACGCGGGGCAGCCAAAAACGATAAATATCACAACTATAAAATATTATAATATAGAATATTATTTGCCGTCAAGATATCGGGGACGTCCCGTCGAAGATTTTCACACGATTTCCTTAGACCATACAAACGTCGTACACTCCAAACGTCCCGACCACGTCCGAGCGACCCCTTTACAATTTGTATTAGCTCCGCCGCACTCGGCCTGTGCTTTTACATTCACCGCAATAATATAAAAATATTATTGTTATTCCAAGGGGATATAGTTGTTTTTTTTTTGTGCCAGAAAATCGATACTTATTTCGGTCTACAATATAATGTGATAAGAAGCCAGAAATCAAATTTAAATTCTTCTGGAGATCTCAAAACTCGACATACGAGCTATCACTAATTAACTGCATTTAAACAACTGGAAAAAGCGGGATAGTATTTAAAGGAAATTCCTATAGCCTTTGAAATCTGTTTCCAGTTTCCTTGTCGCGCATATTAGTAGATCGATCGGAACAAAAGTAGGCTAAATAAAAGCTGTCTAAGGACAGAGACGGGAAATATTACATTCCAATCCAAAAAATGGTTTGACCATGTAATTGTAAACAGCTAAACAATGAATTATTTCAGGACCGTTATTAATAGTTTTCAAGCTGGTAGTAATCATAAACATCTTGAACTAAATTAATCGTAATGAGCATTCTGTTAAACGGAGACAATAAACATTGATTTTATTGGTACCTGGCGCAGTATAAAAAATTTCAGACATTCGGGCATCGACTTGAGGTAAACTTAAGGATGTACACATCTTCTGTTTACAAGTGATTATACGCCATAGTCATTTGCTTGTTACTCGAGAGATGTATACCTTGAAATATTTATATCTCAAGATAGGCCACAAAAACGATTTTATAATATAAAACTTTTCAAAAAAACGATTACAATAGATACCGCATATGACGATAAACTCTTAAGTCCTTTGCTAAATAATACAGTCTTTATTTTATTAAATAATAACAAATTGTACATTCAACGCCCGACTATTAAATTAACTGAACAAGATTAAAACTTTAATACATTTTTCTTTTCCTAAACATCAGGTTAAATATACACGAGGCTTTAAATGTTGAGAATTGAGTATGTTTTTAATCGTCCTAGATTATGTTTTATTATACCCTGTACTTAGAGTCGACAGTAATAAACTAGTATTACAGTTAGTTTAGTGATAAAATTGTAGTTCTTTACGTACAAGCTTACAAGCCTTTTTTAAGGGTTTTATAAAAAAAACTAATACTTAAAGTACCTATTTCATAATGTTAAATGTTTATATTTAATAATAACGCATTGTATTTAAATCCCCTTAATAAGTATTTGAAAATAAAATTATTTTAAAAAGTAGTCGTATTAGATACTTACAAACATATTACGCCGGTGGCGGTTCCCAAATAATAAATTTCTATATAGATTTTAAAATAAAAATACAAATAATAACGTTAAGCTTAAGCTGGACAGTTAATAATGTTTTAATTTTAAAACCATATCAACATAAAATAAAAAATTTAACAATAATTTAATTCCTAAAACTTTCAACGAAATGAAAACTATAACTATCTATTCGTTGGCTAACGCTAAACATTATAATACAATTATATAAGTATACAAATCAATTTCAACGTTAAGCAATAAAAACAAATTTGATTCGAGACCTGCTTTTGGTTGGGAAACAACAATTACATTTTAACTATTAAATACTTATACGGTCAAATTTACCGAACGTTTGTCATCGATTTCAGTCAAGAAAAGAAAATCGATGTATGATTTCTAGTTTCAACAACTATTAATATTTTAAATTATGATAATTGCAATACCAGTAAATGTTTTTTTTTTTTGAAGATATGCTCTACTAACATCTATAATAAACACATGAAGGTCACGGGGGAAGAAGGGCATTTTCCATATTTTTCATTTTTGAGTTAATGGTACTATTCAATGGTGCATTGGCAATTGGTATCGAAGGTAGAGCCATTCCATTCGGTGAAAAAATGAGTTATTGAGGGGGCAACTTGGCGCCTTAAAACCGGTCGACACGTCATAGATTTGCATGTGCAAACAAACTTCTTTTTTGTTATCCTGAAAAATTGTCATAGATGGACTATTACCTACCCTTCTTGCCCGGTGCCCTACATATATATTATAATATACAGTTGAGGTATATTCTACCAGTGTATAGTCTACCTGTAATGAACAAATAACAATTATATCAACACAACAATGAAAACACAGCTATATATTACCTACCTTTGTGACTATATAACACCTATACATATAACTGTTTGAATTCGCGCGTACATAAAGGGACTTTATACCGGGTGTAGACGGACGGCAGGACGGGGCGAGGGGCGGGACGACTGTTCGGGATGAAGAACAGGAACCGGGTGGAGTTTGTGGACAATGGGCGTGTCCGAATGCGCCGCGCCCTTTGGACGACCTCGGGATCGTACGCGGCGGCGGTGGCCCAGCATCGACGGCGGCACCGAACAAACCGACAGTAACGATGAGTTTGCCCAGTGGTGTGGATATGACCGCTGCGCTCATGTCCCAGCATCCCGCCGTACTCGGAGGCCTTTCGCCCGCGTTCTTCTTGCAACGAGCGTCCGAACGGTACCAGCGAACGCCCAAATGCGCCAGATGCCGCAACCACGGAGTGGTGTCTGCTCTAAAGGTGAGTCTCGTCACTTTGCTTTTGGCCGTACTAAATTGGCCATTGCCGTAGATCAGGAAAGGGGGAGGGGTGCGATTCTAAAAACCTTAAAACTCAAAATTAGTGCTACGTTTATTTGTATTTCGATAAATCTGTCTCTGAAAAATAAATGTAGGTATTTTGAAAAGCGCTAATTTTAAGTCTTAAGGTTTTCAGTATCTCGAACCTCCCCCCCCCCTGATCACGGTCAATAAACGGCGGGTCACGGGTTTTTGGAAAAAATTGTTATAACCGAGACTGCAGTGTTGAGAACATTTTCAAAACGACTTATAATGCAATAATCTGACAAACTAAAATATGTAGATATTTCTAACGACTAACATCGACCGTGAGCGATGGATGCAAGTATCGGGAATTAACTGGCGGGTTAAAGCAGCAAAACTATGTAAATATGTGCTTCCGTGTACGATTTAAACATTCGTTATAAACATCAAAAGATATATAAAACCAAGGTACTCTCACAAAATGTTCAAAATGTCTTCTTTATGTAATACAATTTACTACATATTTGTGCCTAAGATGATTGTGAGTATATTTTTAAATATTACTATAATCAGTTTACGTTTTTTTATACCGTTGTAACACTTTTGAAAACAAAACAAAATTTCTTAGTTAAATAAAATTGATTGTGTTTTGTCCGTTACTGGGAATTAATATTTTAGTTTCTTTTTAATATAAATGTAGTGTTGCACCTTTGCGGCAAGTAAATGATAAAAACAAACAAATCTCCGGTCTCATGCTTTATGTTACTATGTGTTAAAAATGACCAAGTGCAAAAACATATTTAAATCATTTATTTCATAAAAATAAGTAATTTATATACGTTATTGCGCATGGTCAATATTTTAGTATATTTATTACTAGTTTGAAACTCTAATAGTTAAAGTTTAGTAGATATAGATACTGGTATATTATATATATATATATTTTTTTTTTGTAACACTTTTTATCTTTAAGTCAGCATTAAAATAACCCAGATATGTATAGTTTGACAAAATTGCTACTTAGGTTAGATTAAACTCGGCCACGCTATCAATTAAACAGTTGTGTTCTGTTATAAGTTTCTTTTGTAAACATTTTAAGGATTCTAGGAGTTATTGAATCATCATTTAAAATATACTAATAATTCGTTTTAAATTACATATTTTTATTTATTTTTAAAAAAAATCAATAATAATCGTGGAAATGTAAATATTGTTACATGTTTTTTAAGTGGATCTGTGCATTTTAATAAAGTTACTTAAACATTAATCTAGCTTGATGTAAAGTATTAAACATATTTCATTAGTCATTCACTGCACTCGGTTTTTCAATTTTTCTTAGCTCTTTTTTCATTTTACCTGTATGCCTAAAAAACAAATTAATTTTACAATTGCACTAATATAATATGATTTAGTGTTCAACCTGAATAATATTGTTTTGGGAATAAAATTGCCAAATACACTTTTGATCCATACGACAGTATTGTTGTCTGTGACAAAATGGCATGTAAATAGCTAAAACTGTTTTTGTAAACGATGACACATTTATTTTTTTATACGTATACACTAAGTCATAAAATATTATGATACCTTGAGCTTTAAAGACGCCCAGGAAAAACTGTTATAATTGCAATAATACAACAATATAGTACACATACGGTCGAGTTGAATTTGTTTAGACATTACACAGTTCACAGCCCAAACATTGTTATATTGTGTTCATGTCATATGAAAAATGTTCTAGGGACACAAACGGTACTGTCGATGGAGAGACTGTGCGTGCGCTAAATGTACGTTGATTGCGGAGAGGCAAAGGGTGATGGCGGCACAAGTGGCTTTACGGCGACAACAGGCACAAGAAGAAAACGAAGCCAGAGAACTGGGTCTTATTTACCCTCCGCCATCGTCTTCTTCGACCACTGCCGGCAGATCGAGTCCAGGTATAAAAAACGATTGAAATTATTATTTGTCCGGTTTTTTTTTTTTGGTTTCAAAAAAATGTTCAATCAGACGCGCGTCACGTAGGCGTTTTTGGACTTTACCGCCTTGGCCGAGGCAAACTCTACAATGCCGGTTCTTGTAAAGGGTCTTAAAATTAAATAAAACCGACGATAGGGTGTGTATCGTGTATGTGTAATACTGCAACAGCGACGGTGCGGTAACCGTAAGTCACGCTTTATCGAAGTGCCATGATATATTATTATATTATTACCAAAAGAGTATATATAAACGGAGGGTGGTGCGCAGGAACAATCAACCCCTGTTTATTACGGACGGATATATATATGGATATATTAAGGACATAAGCACACATAATAATATAACCACACACTAGTAACATTATACGAATTCCTCTTTTATTGCCGCCGCCAAATTCTTCGTCGCCTGACCTCAATTGCCGCTCGCTTTAAGTACATATAAAATACAATTTCGAACTTCTCCCTCGACGTACACAGCCTGGCATAATATATATATATATATAATAATAATAATACAATAAGTGTACTCGCACTTATAATAATAATCATAATAGCAGTAAGTACAAAATGTAAGCTGTACGTACACAGGTACCTCTGCTGTACAAGAATCGTACGCGCGTGGCTGTGTATTAACTATTTATAATGATAATATAATTGTACGTGGGGTTGTGTTTCTTATTTGCTAAGTGCCGCCGGTATACTCGACGACAATAAGTTCCCGGCTAAGAGGTTATTATAATATACGACATGTATAAAACAACACGGGCGCGCAACTTAAACTCTCGACAATCAATTAACATCTATTTGCGGTTTATGTGCCCTCTTTCCGGTCGGTTCACTCGTTTAAAACTTTTTGTTTAACAGATAACATTGTCGTGAGACGCGCGTTTCAAGTGATTTTCCGCAAAAGACGCCGTTTTGTGTACACACAATGTTATCTTGTGTTCACAAGCTCTTTGCGCAAAACTCGACAGAGGCCGATTGTGGAAAAGGATAGATTTTTTTTTATATTATACAAAAAAATAACATTTACGCGGGTCTTCCTTTGTTATTATTTTTTTTTCTACAGTCTCCTTTTACGTTTGTCAAAACATTGATGATATCGCATACATCATCTAAATATAACATTATCGTTCAAGATTTTAAGACTTTAAAAGATTATGTTTCAATACGCCATTGTCCCCAACCCAAAAGTCATGACTCATGAGATACTATCCTACAAATTTAACGGAAATAATTAAGTATGACGATAATAATCGCACTTCGATTATTATACCTGTTGTCGCAGTGTTTGGAAATTTAATTTTTAAATTACTCGGACGGTCTTCTTCTAAACTCATCACGCCAAAAGCTTGCTAGCATATAAGGTGTAGGTCTATTTTGGCCAAATAGGGTTCTGCCAATGTGTCTTACAGGCGCAATACATTGAAAAAGTTTCTCCCTCGGACTTGAATGCAATTGCAACGAACTCCCTCTTAACAGTGTTTTTTTTATCCATACTCAAGTTTTCGCCACCCCACAAATTCCCCTATACAAGCGCTCGTTTCACCTCTTGTTGTCAATATATTATTTTTTCAGCCGTAAAAATAATTGCCGCATTTTTTAACCGACTCGATTTCATACTTCAATAACGTATCTCGTTTTTATGGATTAAAATTGTTTGCACTTGTACAACGATAACCGACATTCATTTCATCGAATCGTTATAATATTTTAACGTTAACCATTCGATTTATGAATAAATGTTATATACCCACAAGGTACTCGTTTCCCCTATTTAAAACAGTAATCTACCGCAATCAATTGGTCTATACAACACATTACACGGAAAACTCTCACGCGATATTGTTTGAAATGTTTTATGAAAACTTTAATGTATATATACACAAAATATTCTACTACGGGTTGTACAATTTAAGTTCGAAAAAAAAGTTATCGAAAACTCATAAAAAAAAATACAACTCTTTTACATAATTTTTTGCAATGAAATGGTGGCGGATTAAAATGCAAGATTGACATTGTGTCGGTTAAACAAAGCTCATTTAGGAAGCCAGGACCATTTGTATTGTTTTTTCTTAACCTTTTTATTTTGTGTTTGTAAACACGATAGCTTTTTTCCTCAGGATCGATTTACTCTAATAGCACCTTTGTATACCCGAAATCGTATGCGATTGGTTCTTTAGTGGGTCAAAAGTAGAAAAAGTCAACTTCTTCCGAACCCCCGAAACCGGGAAACCCCAAAAAAAGTTGACCGGTTTTTTCAACATTTTTTTATACAATTTTAACGAATGGTTCTGTTTTATGTTTCAGACGAGAAAAGAGCCCGACTGAACTTGGACGACTCTGTTACGGTTAAACACGAGCAGAACTCCGGTGTTGGCCAACAGGACGTGCAAAACGCCAGAAGCCGTTCGTCGAGCGTGTCTCCTAATGCTCCCATACAAGTCACTTCTACACAATTCGCGGCCAAGTACAACAGTCCGTCCAGATCAGAGGTAAGTCGCTGATAATATTATACTTAACACGCGTACAATCGTCATTACGGACATATTTTAAGGACATAAACTGTGCTCGCAAGAAATAAATTGTTAACATTTTGCGGTTAGGCGGAAAGCAACGACAGCAGTAACGAAGCGACACCGGAAAACTTGTCGTTACCCAAACGAAGGGATTCAGCCTCGCCCACAGAGCCCCAGAAGTCCCGGTTGGCCACCAACTTTGCCGGTTTTTCCAGTTTTCTGGATAACGGTTCTTCCCTTAATTCGGCAAACACTTCAGCTGCGGCGGCGGCGGCGGCGGCTGCAGGACGATCGGCTGTCGACGTACTTAGGCGGGTGTTCCCGTACAAAAGACGGGCGGATATAGAGACCGTGTTGCAACGATGCAACGGGGACGTCCTGCACGCTATCGAACTCATGGTGAGCAAACGAATTTTACAATAATATTAATTCTAGTTAGTGTGATAGTAGTGGAAGTAAAAAGAAAACTGTCGAAAATTCAAGTAGGATAAATTTTGCGTTCTCAATAAATGAAGAGATATTTTACACGGGTTATTAGCTACGGTTAATGCACTTCAGAGTTACACGGCACAACGATAAAGGCAGTGCTCGTTCCACAGAAAATTATACAAGAGGGGGGAAAGGGTAGAGTGGGATAAGGCGGAGCTGTGTCTGCAACACTTGGTCGTTGGTTCCACCTTTATCGCTGGCAGTTTCTTTTTTGTGGACAGGCGACTGTCTAAAAAAAAAAAAGAAATAGCCACCACTCCTTTTTGTGTTCCAAACTCGTTTGGCTTGGCATAAGGTTCGCAGCCAGCTGTAATTCATTCAAAACCGCCAAATCTCATAACACCGTTTGATAGAAATATTTTGAAAAAAAAAAACGTTAGACAACAAATAAATACTATTATTGTTGTAAAAAAAAACCGTTGTATAAAATAAAATAGTATTTTAAGCACGTTAAAATGCTTTATGCTATTTTGTAAAATATAATTAAAAGTATTTACTACTTTTAGCATTTTCAGAAAATTGTAAGGTGTATTTCTCTACAGTATGATGTAGGATATAGGTTTAAAATTTAAATGCAGTTAAAAAAAAATGTTGTAATACTTAAAATAATTTAATTTAAAATTGGTAAATTATACTTGTCGTTGAATAATGCAATTTTAAAAAGTGCCGTATTTTCATAAATCCTAATTTCATTAAGCTTTAACCTATACATTTTTTTTAAATACTATTTTAACTAAAGGAATTATAAATCACTCACTGTACCTACAGTAAGTGTTTCAATATTAATCGTCTTGTTAAAACTTTGCCTTTTCCTGCCTCTTGGGATCTCGACCCCAAGGTTTTGTTCTACCATTGTACTTAGTAATTGTTGTAGTACATAGATCTTACGTTATAAACTTGTAAGTGTATAACATAATGTAATAGCAACGACAACGGTGTTGGTGTGTTTTCAGATGTGCGCCACCGACCAGCTGTCCATGCCACACCCGTCGCTCATGGACTCGCACTCGGCTTTCTCGCCCATGTCAGCGGCCGCGGCCACCGTTTGCACGGCCGCCGCCGCCATGACGTCATTCCACCATCAACAGGCCCCGCGGTTCTTGACTGCTCCTATTCACCATTACCTGCAACCCCAACTACACCATCTGAGTACGGTTCATCCGCACGCCATGGCCTACCACCAATCGCACCACATGAACACCGCGGGTGCGACCTCGCCGCGGTCGCAATCTCCAGGTTCTGACAAGGCTTCGTACTCTGACTGAAGTACAGTAACAGAGGACACCAATATCAAACAAGTTCAGTTGTAAAAATAATAATATGTAAATACTTCTTATAATTCAACCGCATTTATTTTACATAATATATTATGTAAAAATTTAGTGTAACTCACAGAACAATATAATACAACCCATCAAGTTCATATTTTGGCCCAGAGCTGACATAGCGGATAAAGCTAACGGTAAACAGTATGCTAACGGTGTAATACCTTCTGAAACGAACTAACGTTTTGCCATAACCTTCAACTTTCTAGTCCAGCATGTACTTATTGAGCAAATAGTAATCTGATATTAATGATTCATTTTTTGTGATCGATTTTTTAATTGAATCATAAAACAATCGATTACGCCCAACATTGTTTTTTTACTAATAAGTTTTCAATTTAATGTTAAATGTCAGATTTGAAGGGTTTTTAAAATATTCTAACTGTATCTCCAATAGGACGGGTTCGCGATAAAACGCAATTAGCATAACTCCAAACGCGTAGTTTGTAATTATAGAATAATAATATTACGTTTTATTTCACTTCCATTTTGCTATCTAATTTAATTATTTTTAAAAACCAATATTATAAAATATTATATTACTATTATTAGGTACATAAGGTAAAGCTAACTTTTTATATTTATTATAAGTTATTGTGTTTATTACTATGAATTGTATAAATCGTAACCTTAAAAGTAAAATATAATAGGTATAGTAAGTATAGGTAGAGTATGAATATTATATTATATTAAATTAAGGAACATCTAAAATGTAATCTACATTGCTTATAACTTCATTTGTCCACGAAGAATATATATTTTTATCGTGATTAAAAACGTCATGTAATTTAATATTATAATCATAGGACAAAATTGTTTTTAGCACAATTTTTTATGTTCTAACGTTATTTGAATTGTCAATATAATTTTATAATACTTTGAATGTACACTTATATGTTATACAATATGCTTATTAATTGAATAAATCCAAATTTAAATAAAACTAAATATAATGCAGTATTTTTTTTAAGAGTGATGCTTATTGGTTATGACTAATGACTTACAATTATTACTAGTGAATCTTTAGGTAATATTTTTGAATACACACATTAAACATGACGATTGATGTCATGAATTGAGAAAAACACAGAGTATATTCCATTAAAAGAAAATTGAAGTCTGAGTTTTATTGCTTCGCGCAATGTATTTGAAATCCGATCCCTTGAAGTGTACCTACATTGAACCAATATGTATACTTCAGACTCGCTTTGTACTTGTATAATGTATACATAATATAATATGTTCAACTGTCACGACAAAATTGTAATAATGTGTAATATTTTCAAGGATCTAGTAAGTATAGTAACGGAACACCAGCACAGCTACTCTAGAGAAATAATAAAAAACTGAACGTTCCAATGTCTTATATGAAACTGACTGAAACAAAATACGTTATAATATGTTAGTTTTTTTCATAAAGTTTGGAAAATCTATTTAAAACGCGACTTTTACACTACATTTTCGCACTATATAAAAAAACCAACAACAAAGGTTAACGTTTATATGCGATTTCACAAAATTTTGGATGTCGTTGATCGTTATTGTTAAACCTATACACAATGATGTGCTTTTCTTGAGTTAACTTTGTATATTTCATTGCTTTATGTTAAACTTTTTTTTTTTACTCTGACCTAACCTCCACTTTGGATGTTGGATCGAACCTAAAATTAATTTTGCATTTATTTTAAATAGATACAAACACGTCATCGTGTATTAACATTTAACCGTTTAAGTAATACTAAGAAAACGGTAAACATTAAATTAAAATGTTTACATAAACCCAATATCTGAGCATTACTTATTAATCTCATGGATATAATTTAATATATAAGTATCTGGATCAACACGAAATCCATTTCATTGACAGCAAATATGAGATGAAAAATACAACTTTTTGCATTTGCTAAACGGTTTTGTTCGATTGATTTATGACTAATTTTATTTTGCAAAGAATTTTCAACACTATACTTCACATTACTTTTATACTGCCACGATATCCGATATTTTTAAGTCGTCTTGTAAGTCGCATCATCGTTTCGCGTAAGTCACTCGACGGGAACCGTTACCTATGGTCTTTCATGTACCTACAACGAAACAATATATTTCCACATCAACCGAAACACGAAAACACTTGATTTCATTAATATGTATGTTTTTTGGTAGTTTTGTAATGATAATATTGCGTTTGCTGTCAAACCAAACAACGACAACACAATGTTGTTCATGTGTGCAGACATACTTATGCAGAGTACATCAAGAAATAATAAAATAATACAGAAAAACGAATAATATGAAAAATGAATAAAAAGAAGTATTAAATAAAAAATAAATTAATGTTAATCAATCCCCAAAAACCGACGTGTGCTTTTAAACATAACGAAGGGAGACGTTTAAACTAATATACTGGATAAAATATGTACATAACATTTAGTAAGGGCGCTTAACTGTGTCCATGCAGGTGAATAATGTTTTTAAATCTTCTTTTTTTATTTTATAAAAAACAAAATCAATTTTGAATTTGTGAAATGTATACAATTTGTAGATCCTACGTGTTTCAAATTTACACAAAGATTAATTTCCAAAAAAATATGTATATATTATTATTTGCTTGAGAAATCTATTCGAAACCTTATCATGCGTAAATTTGGTAGGCCCTAATAAGAAGCAACGCTGTTTACTTTAAATTCTCTCATTTTATGTCATTATGATATTTTTTTTAATTTTATCTTAACAATTTTTTTTTTGTTGGCTATTAGAAAACATAAAACCTACTAGATATTCAAAGAATTTCTATTACGTTGTTTAATGAAATATTTCCTACGTCTACATTGTACATGTTATACTGGCGACAAAATCTTCAACTATAAACATTCCTAACAGGAGGCAAATCCTTCTTCACCTACCTTTACCAAAGGTTTTGCCAGAGTTAATTTAGCCCGTGCTTGTATTCGAGTATTTTACTATTATTAAAATAATACATCTATTCGTTGGACAACAACATACATTTGTTACATCTAAATAGTAATTACTTATTAGAGGTTTTAACGGTTAATAAATGTTTTGCACGCTGCATCATAATGACGAAAATTATTTCACCGTTCAGTTGGGAAACGTGTGATTTCGGAAATACGTGAGAGACACGCCAAAAGGGGGGAAATCTTTGAGGTGTTATCGCGTCAAATTAATAAGGTTTCTACCTTAAGGCGCGGCGTCGTGCAGGTCTGATATAAAACCGGATGTTCCAATTACAGTACAGCAGACTTGTCAAAGAGTATCTACCAGCCCCTCGTGGCCTGCGGCGGTGTAAATAGACGTGTCAACCGCAGAGCGGTGGAATATCAATTTTCTGGGTACATGCGATTCAATTTAAATCTGATTATTCCTCTCTCACCATCACCACCACCACCACCACCAGCCCTGCCGTCATCTGTAAAATACATTTTGATAATACACTTCCCAATTGGTACGCTATAATATCGGCGGCAACTCGTTTCTGCCGGCTTTTTTATTGTTCGCAGGCGTTTTCCAATTTCCCATCGACACCTTATCTTATAATAATATATGTATTATATTATATACGTGTTTGTAAACATTTGATTTTTACATTCACTGGATCCGACGTACAAATTACCCGCGAGATTGTCGTTCAACCGCGTTAAGTAGAAGAATCGAAATCATTTTTATGTTGGTTATCCGACTCCGCGTAAATTAATATACGATAAACAAACGGGCGTCAAAAAGCCAACAAGACGGTTCAGTCGACAAACGGGTGGGATTATTTTGACTTGTATAAAATTCAAAATGTGCGATACCAAATTAATTCCGAAACTTAAACCGGAGATTAGAGAAACGTGTCCAAACCGAAATTTATATTATTCAATATTGTTATATTGAATAATGTAAATTACAAGTACAACGCATTTTGATTTAACTGATTAGTTGGGTACTGGAAAGCAAAATAATATCAATATGTTCTAATTGTGGTCGAAACACTTGTTGATATTTTAAAATTATTATAAAACCATGTTTTGGCAGGCGATTGAATTTTTCAAAAATATTATTTACATAATGTTAAATATTATGAAAATATTTCCAATGTTATAAAATTACGTAATATGATAATATTTTCATCGTGAAATATCTTTTTTATACATTTGATCTTTGCCAAAACAAGATTTTAGACATTCTTATGTCAAAAACACTTTTTGATAAAATTTCCAACATATTTGTTTATTGTCTGGGTAGTATAATATTCTAATAAAGTAAATGGATAATAAAATGTTGATTAAAATTATTAAAGACGTAATAGCTTAACCGATTTTAAACTTAAAAAAGTGAATTTAAAATATTTGAAAGTTAAATTATGCTGTTTGGAACTATCTAAAATATTGTTGTTCGTGGAACCGGTAACGAAACCTTTATAACGGTCAAAAGGCATAACCTAACTTTAATGTAGTATGCTTTATTTACTTGCTTTTAAAAAATCAGTTATAATAATATGATACTTTTAATAGTTTTAATCAACATTTAATGTAGTTGTAATAAATTAATTTGAGTTTGACTTGAAAACATGTTCAATCTATTCATTTATGGCTTGTTGAAGTTGTCATTTTTCATACGTATATGCCAACTAATTTATGTTAAATGTGGTTTATTAAAAAATTTTAATCTACGGTTTTCAACATATTATGTGGGTCAAATAAAAACTAGTTGAAAAAATGATAAACAGTATTTATCATTAAACACTTATTGGTACTTTTTAATTTTAAAACAACAACTTTAGAGTATGATTCACATTAATGGGAAAATGACGACCTTATATTATTTTAACGCTATTAATTCTACAAAATTTACTTTTGTAATATATAAGCAATTATATAACATTATTAAATTTAATAATGAAATTAAAAACCATCGTTGACTTTTATGTATGTTTATGTATATTATTGTTATAAATTATAATAAAAGTCGAAAACAAATTTATCCTAAAAAATAGATGGTTTCTTTTTTAAACCAACTTAATTAAAAAACAATTACCTGGATAGGGACTACAGCTGAACTGCAGACTACCAACAATTGAAGTAGGTATAATTAAATAAAAACTTTCAAACTTAATCGTTATACGCCTTACTATGACAAAAAAACATGCAAATGAGTTGTGAAACGCAAACAGTATAGTCAATTATAAACCGCCGTCGCGTCGGTCCCTTTATAATATAATAATTAATAATATACAATATTTCTGCAACAGATTTTTTTGAGGGGACATATAAAAAGACATATCAAAAAACCCAACGAGGCTTTGACAAGCGAACCCGGTCGGTGTACTTAAGTTCTTTGTACTGCACTACAACATTATGTAAGTGCGCATTAAATGTATTAACAAATTATTGTTCTGTGTGCCTTTTACCACAACGATATTATATGTTGACGGAAAACAAGATAATAATAATTCGACATTCAATTAATCTTAGATTAGTTTTTATGTCCGGCAATATCATTGTGTCGTGCAACTGCAATATTGTGTGGGTCGTGCACGTGGCCACAGTGTAAACGGGTTGCAAGCAACACTACTGCGGCCGACGTTAAGTCTCGTGTATTCAAAATTTGTCATCCCGCTTTGGTGTACATACAC